GCTCACAAATCTAAAAAATGCACGAGCAAGCTTGCAGTTATAAATGTAAGAGTATGATAATGAAGATTTTAGATAAAATAAGCAAAAACAGAATGCCCACCGAAGGTTGCTATGATAGAGAGGAAGGAAAGAACCATTTGTGGAGTTCACGAGACCAAAGTGCCGTCCAGTCTGAGGGTTGAGGAAGGCTGTATTGTGAAGGGGTATGAAGTGGTTGGCAAAGGCTCGCAGACATGTGTGTCGATATGACAGTACTACATTCGGTGTGATTTGAGAGCGCTGATTGGCGTCCAAAGTCGACCCACCCATGTAGTTAACTAGCTCACTAGAAGCCTCTGAGGACATTGTGGGGCGTGATCCCTCGATAGTCAAGAGGAGCGGAGCCGACTGAGTTGCGTAGCCCACCACGCAGTTGAAAAGAATGTCTTCACCTGTAGCCAAGGTGTCGATAGTCTCCTGCATCTTGGGTGTTGTCAGTCGCCAATACAATGTGTGGTAGTATCTAAGGGAAAGGCATCGCATTCGGCTATCCAACCTACTACCTTTTGCAGTCATGGCGAAAGCAAAAAGTATTACTAAACTTGCAGATTAATTGGACCATAAATGGAAGCTTGAATTGGTATGAAAGTAGCCAACATTCTCTATTAAAGTGGGAGGAAACCACAAGATCATTCATCTTTGCATGCTCTAGATTCAGCTTCAGTGTATTTTCGACGGATGACAAATTTTGACAGCAAGATGGGTAGCATTTATTTAATATGTTCTAAAACTAAAGTACGATGCATATAGGCAACAGTGAATGCATAACTGTCTCACCTATGGTAAACTGCCGCATTGAGGAGGACCATCGAGAAGCTGCCGTAGGAAGAAGCATTGACAGAGTAGTTCCAGGAGCCTATCTTGTTATCCCAGATGTGTGTACGAGCGGTGAATCCGACAAGGCGATGCGGGTGTTGCAGCCACAATGCATAGGCAGCATCAATCTATACGAAGAAAGCATTCAAAAAAACCACAACATCATCAGACGACTAGGAAAGATTTATAAATTTACTTGATGCAGATCCAAAGAATCGGCAACATCCAATTCAGCACTCCAAACAGCAACAGTAGGAATGTCTTTGTGAGCGGGCAGAAAACGATTAGAAGGAGAAGGGGTTACAGAGGTAGTAGGTGACGAGACCTTGGGTAGCGATGCAAAAGAGAGGGAGACAGGCAGACCATTGAACATTTCCGCCGAGAGCTTTTCCGAAGAGAGCGGTAGTTGATTGCTGCACTGCCATACTATGATAACCTAAGCCAATAGAGATGAAAACCCAAATAGCACCAACTTTAACAATCCAGGTTACTAAGCTCACCAAGCGTAAAATAATATCTGAACCGTAACATAACCCAGGTCGCCCTAGATGAACATTTGAGTACAAATTTGTGAAGCTTTAGGATATCAGTCTACAAATTCATCATCCCTTCGAGATTAGCAATGGAAAGAATATCAAATATCGTGACATGAATGGGCACAAAAGATTTTTTAAAAAGATGAAGCTAGAACGATTGACTTAGGCATGCCACTAGATATTTAGCGGTCACTTTCCATCCTAAAGTTACCAATATATACAGATAAGATTCACTCACATGGCCACTACCACTATTGCCATGGTACCCGCACTAACCTAAAGACGTTAACGGGAGAAAAATATTGGAAGCACATTACCAACTTTTAAACAGCAAGTGAGTTCCGGATTCAAGGTAGCATATGGGGACAACTCATTCAAAATCTGCGCATTCTTTCTCACAAACCTTTTTGAGGTGTCGAGATCGCATGAACACAGAGGCAAGTTTCCTCAAGAGCTTCATAAAGTCTGTACAAAATGGGTGACGAATTGTAACCACCAAAGTAAAGCCCTTGTTTATTTCATCTAAAAGGTTATTAACAAGTTACACTGAGAATAAACATCGTCGTAGCAGAAGTTGGGCAAGAGTTGCCAGCTTAGCTCAAATTTAATTAAAAAAAAATCAAATTGGCGCAGTTCATAGGGCGTGAACTTGGTATGCGAGGAGTAATGTAGATAAAAATAAATAACCTTGGCACTTCACAGGAAGACTAGGTGATGGATACTCGCAACCGTTGATGGTAGTCGACTCGGAGAATAATACACCACCTGGTCTTCTATTCCAGAGATCGTAATTCTTCTGGCGCAACGTCAAACGGTCACGAATAGACTGAAGCATAAGTGTGAGAAGAATAAAATAACCGAATACAACACCCAATCATGCATGTATACCAATTATGGCAATGAGTTTGCTGTAAAGTGGTCTTAAACACAATGAGGTTGATCAGAAATATTCATCATAATGAGGTGTGCATGGATGTGGATTCAAGAAGCCTTACCATGAGGGTGGCATGGACGATAGCATCAACGGAGCAAAAGTAACTGTTCCAGATGAAGCGCACCTGCTCCCGCATTTTGACTATTTGGCTGTCGGGGAAGTTGCGCAGCAAGTCAGGCAACCGCGAGAGCGTCCGCTCGTCTGCTACAACAGCCGCTTTACTCCAGTCGATGACCTCCGAGAACGGCAACTCCCAATCGTTGGCCAGAAGTACTGGAATGCAACTTGCTTCCAATACCTCTAGGAACCTGGAATCAATAATTGGCCATGATAGTTGTATCCACGTGCCAAAGCATCCGTGGTGCAGCGTCTAAGTGCTCTTACTAACACCACTTCTCAGACAGTCGTTGCCTCATGGCCTTACCTTCGTCAAAAAAAAACGAGCGCAATTTCCCACTTACATAAAGTACAGTGTCATGAAATCCATTACACAGGTGAATGCAAGATTGCCACCGCGTAACGTGAGAAAAAAACAACAGTTTCATTTTCTCCTTGTTGCAAACCAGCAGTGGAGATATACACAGTACCTAATTTGCAACAAAGGCACCTAAAGCTACACTCAACGATCACGAATTTTGGCAGTGGTTGTCCGGGGATACAATGGAACCCTAAAGAAATGCTATCGAAAAAATGACATGAAAAATGAGAATGCAACCAATGGTTTGGTTGAGGATCTCAAACATTAAATTCGAATGATATCTTATTGCAACGAAATAAATGTGTAAATAATAAAGCAGACCGGAAAGAACCAAGACGTCGACCACGGGGAACGAGACAGAAGGTGGAATTGTGGAGTAGTTCTTCGTATGAGACCCTGAGAACACGGTAGTGCCAGTGGTCATAAGTGCAGAAATTTTAATATTCCAAATTAGAGATGAAAGCATTTACAGCCACAATTATTCGGGAGGCCATTTGTTTGTCCGAACTGTGCGAAGTAACATTACGACAGCGATGTTACGTAAAGGAAGTACAGTATTTAACTACTCTTACTCCACTTATATTTTCTCTGCTAGGGTTGAAAATGTCGACGATTAGCGCAACTACGAAAAGGTCACTTCACTGTAGAACGGTAACAAGCGGTAAGAAGGTCATCTAACAGCAAAGCATACGAAAACATTGCTGTTCTGCTTGCTCTGCTTTTGAATGTTAATAAAAACAAAGTTGTTTTTACCTAAAACCAGGTTTACTAAAGTAAAAAGAAAAACGACTTTTTTGTTCTTAAATTAGATTACGAAACAGAATGGTGTGCACATGTACCAATAAACAAGCAC